CCCATAGTCTGTAATTTATTTTTTATTTATCGAATGTATCGGTATCACTTTAATTTACCAGGTGCAGATATGCAGGTACCTGTTGTGATGTGGCATTACAATAGAGTTTTCACAGAAATTACCATGAAATTGCTATACTACTATATTTCCTTGCAGAAATTAATGTTATGGCTCGTATATTAGGATATTACTAAATCACAGGGGCAAATCGGGAGACCAACTTTTAAAAGCCAAAACTGTAAATTACCAAGTATCCAGACATACAGTTACATTATTGCAAAATATTCAAGCATGAGTATGTTATTAAGCCTGTGCTAAAGTGCTTTTCTGAATTGCTGCCTCATTTGGTAATTTCAGAATAGTTTTGATTTAAGATAAGCTTCACAGTAAGTTAGTTAATACTCTGTAGTCTTGTCTTTCTTTGTAAAAGTAGAGGAGTGTAGTAGCATTAGACCATACCAGAATGCCCTTGCTCTTAAAATTGCAGACAATCCGAGGAGCTTTTCCATAATGTCTGTTTGAATTCTGTTATTGTGGGTTAGAAAAAGGTTTTTCTGTGTTTTCAGAGGCATTGCTATTATCGCTGCGTTGATGGGAGCAATTGTATTAAAATTACATGGTCACCAGTTAGCTTTTTAGGGATTTATTTTTGTTCTGCTTCACTGTTAGAAATCCACAAGAACATCATTAACTTGACTGGAATTTCTCCATGTTTTGTGTCAGCATGGTGGAGAAGACGGGACTCTGGTTTCCACTGTAATTATATAATCAGCTTCAACAGGTGAAGATTTTTCCCTGTTGAAGAGAACTTAAGTAGTATTACTGCTGCCTGCAATGTAAAGTCATCACCACCCTCCTCCCCCTCTAGCTGGCTGGGCCACATTGTGCTTGAGTTTGTAGCCTATGCCAGAACATCCTGGTCATTATGTGAAAATGTGAAAACCAGTTGCAGAAATGCAGCCAAACCAGGAGCATCGGTGCTGGCACTTGTGGTTTGTGTAATGTAGAACTGTCACTGGGCCAAAGATGTTTTGCCTTTGGTTGACCACGTCTGGCTGTGCAACCTTTGTGCTGGGCGGCAGAGAGGATATATTTATTAGTACTATTCAGACTGTTGTAATGATAAAGCTGTTCAAAGATCTCCATCCTCAATGTGGGAATGTTTGTGCAGAGCAGGTCTGTAGCAGGGTGTGCTGATGGAAATCTAACAGTTCAATTTGTTTTCATTATAGATGATTACAAATTAAGGACCCGACTCTGAGGTTTTCAGGAGGTTATGAGGATTGCTCGAGATAAAGCCTCCAGTTCTTCAGATTAAATGTGAGCAGTATCCAGCCAGGGAACAACCAGGTGGAGTAGTGGTTGGATAACAGAGGCAGAATACAGTCCAAAGGCAACAGATTAAATGGGGCCAGAGGTGTTTTAATTGACTAGCAAAAAAACCAAAACAAAACAAAGGAAAAATGTTTCTTTTTGTTTCCATCCAATTAAAAAAATCCAGACTTCTCAGTTCTTAGGCTAAAACACTGGTTTCCTAAAGTCTTTGCCTGGCAGCAGTGACAAGTGAGTCAGGCTTTTCCACACTAGCTTGCAGCCTTGCCTTCCACAACTGTGCAGAAAATCTTGGGTTTTGGTTTTTTAGTGAATAGAGTCTATTTTGAGTTCATAGCAGTCTCCCCATGTGCACTCTTGCAGGAATTCACTTGCATTACCCTGCTAAGTTTTTTTTCCTCTCTCCTTTTTAGTAAGAGATGTATTGATTTCTGTATTCAGTATAAAATTACTTTATGGTGTGTGTTTTGTAATTAGGAGTATGTGAAAATGCTTTGTGTAGATTAAAATATTTCCTTTAATATAATCTCCTCTCGCTTTCATAGATAAATGGACATGCTGTTGCAGATCACATTACTGATTTTATTTGTAATATTGCTTTAATATCTATTTCAGAGGAATGTAACCTCCAGAAAAGTACTTTCCACATCTTCACTACCTTTCCTTTCCCTGTTCACTGTGTGTGGATCCAGGCCATCAACACCTGAGCTTTTGACTGGATGGGTTTCAGATCCTACGTGGATTCTGTCAAAATTACATGGCCACAAAAATTACTAAAGATGGTTGAAGTTTTTGAGGACCCAGGTATAAATGGAGATGTTAGAGAGATTTCTCAGCAACACAAGCACAGTGACATTTGCAGCAAGCAAAGGAAATCATTTTCACTCTGTGTGTGCTGTTGGCTGTTGGGCTCTGGTCCACCCTGCTGTTGGGGTAGTTTTCCTGTGGAAATGAAAAAATCCACTGTGAGGAAACATCCTGTATCTGTGATGCAGAAGGAGGGCAAGGAGGGTAGGGCTTGGGAGTAAAATCCTGGCCAGTGGACACCATGATACCAGTGGTCCAAAATTTCACTCTGTGGTTTTTAATAGCAATCTGGGGAGATGTTTTCTTTCTCTCCATGATTCTTATCCTGAATCCACAGGGGCAGATGCTGGCAGATGCCTGTGGCCCACATGAGCTCATTAGCAGGTGACCTTGCCCAGCATGCCATAAGTTTGCAGAGGGCTCTTAATGTATTGGGAAGTTTTTGTTGATGGCCGGGAAATCTTTTGAAACTCCAGAAATAGCTGAAACAGCAAATGGAGTTTATGAAAATCAGGTCTTCCTCTTCCAGCCTTTTTTAAGAAACCCACATTTTATTTCCTTCTTCGTTCTTTACACAGTAGTTTTTAGATATAAATTATTTTAACTTTTTTTTGTGTGAAAAGTCATATATACATATATAAAGTTATTAAAAGGTTGAGTATATGTTGAGTATAAAATAGTGACTTCTTTGTTTCAGATGTTAGCAGTCCCTAAAATGGGTTGTCTATCCTCTTGTAAAGTCAGTGCTGTAAAAAAATATTAAAAAATAAAAGATGTATTAGATGTATCTTTTATTATTTATTTCTGATTCAGTATTTGATACAGCTTGTGTATACCCTTGTGATAACCACATACTAAAAACACTGTCATTCTTAAAATGGAGTAACAACAGTTCCTTGGGATCCCAACAGTTTTGAGAAAATTGGCCCTTTGGGTGTGAATAGTGTTGGATATTGTCCTTCAGTCTCCAGCATTGCTCCCCACCTAAGCATGGCTGAATCTTGGGGACCATTCTGTGTGTGTACTAGGTTTCACAAGTTCATTGGTATCTGTGTTCAAATCCAGCTGTACAGTGTTAACAAGTGTGTCTTGTGATTCGCTTCAGCCTGGTTCACTATGATTTCTGAAACATAATTCCCATTTTGTACTTAAATTTGTATAGAATTATATAAACCCATAAAAGACCATGGTTTACTGTAAAACCCAAAATACTTGATATTTGGCGTCTTCAATTGCATGACTGATCAAATCTGACAATGAAGATGGTGCTTTCATCTAACAGCATTGATTTCAATGGTAGTATATTCATTTTCTTTTTGTTTGCCAAGCACCTGTTTTTGGACAATGTTTTGGTTTCAACAGTAAAGCAATATGCAGTAGGTATTGTGGCATTATCTCTGTAATTGTTTTGAAGAGAGAATTGTCCCTTTCCAACACATAATGAAAATAAATGCCTTATAACAAGTTCTATTTTGCTTCCTCTTTCTGAGTGGATAGGGCAGCGAGATGAACAGCTCATTGGGAGAAACCTGTTTTCATGAGAATTTGATGTTCACATTCTTCCTGAGTGCAGTTGTTTGCAGTTGTTTCAGACCTCCTGGTACCAGAAAGATTTGATTTGGTTTCTCTTCTAACACTTAGAGGGAAGTCAGCTATTTTTATCTTACTATATAACACATCTTAACATCACTGGGATTTAAGTTACTCTTATACATATGAATTTATTCATAGCATAGGCTTCTGAGGTGATTGATTTTTCATCATCCAGGATAGGGAATTCTTGATTTCTCAAAATGTAGCAGGATTTTTAATCAAGACCCTGTTTGGGCTAGTGCAGGAGAGAGAGGTATCTCACTGAGCAGCAATAAATTTTGCTAAGCAACAAGCACTCTCACAAGGGCGCTCATTAGACGCTGCCTGGGGTTCAGTGCAGCAGTCCCAAGGCAGGGCTGGCTGTGGCGAACACAGGTACAGCTGGTCAGAGCAGCAGCTACCAGCTGGTGGGGCATCCTCCCAGGCCCCACACTCAGGCCTTGAATGCCATCTTTCCCTTTGAAGAAAATCCTTGGGTCTCAGCTGTTCTGTGGGCTGCAGGTGATGAGAGAGAACTGAGCTTCAAACTGGGGCGTCCGAAATACAGCCCTTGCAGTGGGTGGGCCTTTTCCTCTGCTGCCAATACACACAGAACACCGGAAATATTACGATTGATGCTCAGAGACTTTTGGGGCCAGCTTCCTCAGCCCAGGCACCACCCAGTCCTCCAGCTGCCATGTGGCCTGAAACCCAAAGGACAGAGACAGTTCTGCCTATAAGCACAGTGCCAGTTGGCCACCACGACTCCTGTGAACCAGCACACAGGAGGAGCAGCCCCTTGGGATGGGCCTTCACCTCTGGGGGAGCATAGACCAGTACTTTTCCTCATGACTAGCCTATTTGTTACTCCTCTTTTTTGTAATCTACTTGTGTGTTGTCCAAATAGCCTGACTTGGTCAAGCATTGCCCCAGTGTTGAAACTTTTAATTGTTTTCTTTCTGGTCAACCTTGTGTTCATCGATAAACCTTGGATGTGACCCCTGAAGCTCCCAGGTCTCACTGAAGCTCCCAGGGCACCTACTGCCTGGCTGAGCTGTACAGCACCAGTGGGCCCTGGGTGGGCAGGGAGAGCTCTGCAGTGCTTGGGGACCACAGGGAAGTGTCCCCGATGCTGGGTCCCAGCGGGCAGCAGCGCAGGAGCCTGGGTAAGGAGGGAACACCACTGGTGTGCGTCTGCAGTGAGGGGAGCCCTTCATTCCCCTCCTCTCTGCAGGACTGTACCAGCCCTGCAGTGTGCTGACAACCGAGACTGAAGCTGCCAAAACAAAGGAAGGAACCCACTGCAGTTTTATTTTTCCTTAGATAAATTTTTTATATAGAATATATTACAGTCAGAGTTCTCAGCATTTAATCAAAAGATAACAAGTTATTGCAGTTTTTTACCCAGTGAAACTACCGGTGAAAGAAGAACTTTCTAGAAAGCTGTCTTGTCTTTTAAAAAAAAAGAGGGAAAAAAACCCCACCCAGACAGAAAATACACATGTAGGTTGCACTTCGCACCCACCAGCGCCCGGCCGGGCGGGTGGGCATCCGTGCGGACAGGGGAGCGTGAGGTGAAGCAGCGGCGATGGGCACAACACTACGGCGAAGGAGGCAGGCCTGGGCGCTAGCGAGGGCGGTGCTTCGCTCGGCTTAATTGCTTTTAAATCGGGAAATGGAAACGCGGTGGGGAGGCAGGAGGGTGGCGCCGGTGCTCTCGCCCGCACAGGGAGGGCCGGAGCCCTCAGCCTCGCCTCAGCTCGTGCAGCTTGTGGGCAACGCGCTCCAGCTCGGCCTCGATGGCAGCCAGGCTCTCCAGCTCCTGGTCCTGCAACGAAAGCCCAGGACACGTGTCAGCAGCCATGGGTGTGCAGCCCTCGCCCCACAGAGCTACAGAAAGCCTTGCCTGGGGCACGAGCACAGCTGCGTCCTGCCCCATCCCTTCAGCCTGCTCCTGCATTTGCCCCTCTGGACAGACATCTGTGCACAACACTTATTACTCCTGTCCTAATGTTTAATCGCTGCAGCAGGTAATGGGGACAAGACATGCAGCTCCCGTACTTCCTCAGCCTTTCTGCCAGGCAGGGCAGCCCCCAACAGGTCTGTACCTCCAGAACAGGCTGGAGGGAGCTGGGGCCAGGGCAGGCTCTGCTGAAGCGCCATGGGCACCTGCACTGAGTCAGTGGAGTCAAACCAGGACGGGCACTGGTGCCTGCCAGCTGTGGCAAGTGCAGCTTGTGCCTTGCTCGTGCAAGGGATGGTGGTGTCCCCTCTCCCCATGGTGCCCTGGGTGTTTGCTTCTACTACCAGAAGATGGTTTTCTGTTTGGGAAAGTAGTGAATTAGGAGGCCATCAATTTAAAGGCTCCAGCTGCCCATCAGGTGGTGGTCTTTCTATAGCAGCTCTTGTGTATCTGTGCTGTCACCTGAAGCTATTTTATTTAGTGCAAGTACTCAAATTCCTAACTGCATAGCTTTGCTTGAACTTGGGTCATATCCAGCTGGCCCTGTCTTGCTGCCAGCTCCAGCCCTGCCTGTCTCTCACAGCTGCCATCAGCTGGGGCTCTCTGCATTCTCCTAGTGCAGCAGCAGGCTCTGTGGGAGCAAACTTGGGGCTGTAGATGCTAAAAGTGCCTTTCCCATCAGCAGAATCGAGGTGACAGCCCCTCTCCTGTGCAGAGGGAACAAAGCCTTGCTGCTGCCTGCAACAGCTACCAAGCACAGGCTGACACTGAGCCACTTGCCAGCACTGCATGTGGCTGGTGTGAAAAAATAAAGAAAGTATGTAAAAATAAGTAATTTTTTTCTCTTCCCTGAGCTATTTTCTTGAACAGGGAAAAAGTCACCATGTCCCTCCACAGAGCCCTCGTCTCAGCCTCTGGGAAGTCTTTGGTTACAGCAGGGTGTCAGCAGCTCAGGGTGCCCCAAGCACCCCAGGAGTCCAACTGAGCCCAAGCCACTGTTCCAGTGAGTTTTTGTTGAAGCAGGTCAGGGAGCAGCTGGCTGAGGCTCACCTTCTGGAGGAGAATTTTGGCTACAGCTGGAGCCCCCCGAAAGTGAGAAAAATAGCGCTGTGCTGAGATCCTCCACAGCACCCAAAGAGAGCTTGGTGAGGCCCACACCACTGCCTCATGCTGTGCCTCTGCACTCTGGATTGCTTCTGCCTGGCCCCACATGTTGAGCCCTGGAGAGTGCACAGGACAGCACTCGCAGCCCCCATCTGTGCCCACGCTGGCCTCATTGGCCAAGACACACCACCACACAGCCTGAAAATGAGGAGAGGGGACAGGATGGCAGCTGCTCTGGCAGAGCCAGAGCCTGTGCCTTCCTTTCCCTCACTGCTGGGTACCTTGTCTAGACATTCCTCACTGACTCCCGGAGGCCCTGATCTAGTTTAAATAAAAATCAAAACAAAAACAACAGAAAGTCTTGCTGCAGCTGTAAACACAGCAGTTTTGCAGCCTCAACATCCTGCTTCCCAGTCCCTGTTTGGAGATTGAGTACACCACCTTGCAGACAAGGTGTACCCCAGAGCCACTGGCAGGGGCAGGTGGGTAGCAACCACCTAAGGGGAGAGACCTAGGGTGTGGGCAGATGGTGGTGAGAAGCCAGATGGGCCAGCCCACTGCACTGCATCCCTGCTTCAAGCTGAGACATTTGGCTTTGCTTTGAACCAACACAACTGGAGATGCTCTAGTAGCAGGGAATGCTGATGGGCAATCTTTGGCCAGTGGTTTGGTGTGTAACTAAGGGAAGAGGCTTGTTTTGGAGGAAAGAGAGCTGCAGCAGACTGGCTTCACTCTCCTGCTGCCCTGCCTCTTCCCAGGCACCTGATCTCGGCCTATCCCAGGGCAAACACCCACAAAGCCCATGCTCAGCCCTCTGAGCTATCCCAAATCAACTCCTGTGCCTGAAGCTGGGCCTCAGCACAAAGGCAAATCCACCAGTCCTGGCTGCTGTGGAGGTGCTGAGCTACTGCCCAGCATCACACGAGGTATCAGGGAAGGAGATGTCTGACTTTGGAAGCCTGACTCGGATGTATTCCAACATCTGTCAACAGTTTTGACTCCAGTGCCCCAGCTTTCTCACCACAGCTGCACCCCTGATTTACCTCTGTAGGAGGTCTGACATTACTCACTCCATTCCTGAGACAGGGAAAGCATTTTCTTTGGCTTGGAAGGGCTTTGAGACACAAGGCCCATCCCCAGGCTCCAGATTTAGCTCTGGTCACCATGTCCAGCACAGGCCAGTGCAAAAGTCCTGTCACTGGAGACATGACCCTGTGGGGCAGGGAATGTTTTTGCACTAATCACTAAAACAAAGATAAAAAAACAAAGACACAACTAGGTGCAAATTTCAATAGTACCTGGGGCTGAATGACTAAAAGTTCACTAAGCATCAGCTTAATATCACAGAGAACCACTGCTAGCTATGTTAATACCAAGGTACCATCTACATCTCCCAGCATAGTTTGGATAACTGGGCAGGATTTATTCTTAAGCCTAAGTACACCGACCTCTGTTCTTCTGTTAGCGCTGCCTTCCTCGTCCTTCTTTTCTTCAGGCATGGGAGCAAGTGGGAAGCCTCCTTCACTGCTGTCCTCCTTCGAGTGATGCTTCCATGACCTTTTCACATCTTCCTCTGGACTACGGAAGGCATACTTGCGGGACTTAAATGGCTTTTTCATGGACCTGTCTGGGTCTTCCCCACTATCATTTTCCTCCCGGCGTTTCTTTGATGTCAGCTGTTTGGCCAGCTCATCCATTTTGTTCCATCTCTTGGTGTCTTCCCACTCCCTGGAGGATTCCTCCTCCATCTCGTCACTTTTGGCATCCCTGGTCTGGAAGGTGTCCTCCTCCTCCTGCATCCCCTCATCCTCCAGGTGATGTCTTCCTCCCCTCACTGCCCGGGGCTGCTCTTCCTCCTCCTCCTCTTCCTCCTCCTCCTCAGAGCTCCGCCCATCTTTGCCAAATCCCAGCACATCATCATTATCTGAAAGAGCATGAAACAAAACAGTGAAAACAACTGTTAACCTGGTTGCAGTCCACCTTTGAACTGAGCCTTCAGGGGTGATGCCAGATGGGTTTCCTGACTTAGGCCCACTTTCCTAGGATTCTGCAGATACCCACTCTCACGTTGCCATGTCAGTAGCAAGGCTTGAAGGTAGCAGTCCAAAACCCTGCAGTAAGTCCAAGAAAAAGGAATTGGTTGTTCCCAGGAACTATAAGAGCCAAGCAGCAGGCAGCAAGGCTGCTGCAGGGCTTGTGTTACCTGCTGTGTATGGGCCCATGCTTCCAGTGCTTGTGGTGGGGTCTGGGTGGCTGCTGGCAAGGTTATATCTGTAAACCCAGTAAGCACCTGCCTGAGCTTTTTGGCTTTAAAGCCTCTAATCCATCTGTCTCAGTGCTCTCAGCTACCCCAGGAAAGTATCAGTGCAGTTGTCTGGGATACGTACTGTCATCTTCCTGCACCTCCTCAGCCTCCTCGTCCTCCTCAGCCAAATCAAGTGATCTCTCTGCTTCAGTAGGGTCCTCCTCTGCAGCATCATCTCCGTCATCCTCCCGCTCCACACGCTCCCCCGCCACCTCCTTGCTGTGCTCCCGGCCCTTCCTGGATGGCTCCTCTCCCTCACCCTCAAGCTCCAGGCTGTCCCTGGAGCCTCTGGGCTCCTCCTCTTCATCCTCTTGCTGCTGCTGCTCATCCTCACTGAAATCTTTGCCAGTGTGGTTGTCCAAAGCTCTGTCTCGCTGGGCATCGTCTGTATCCCTGATGTCATTGCTTTCTGCTTCTTCCCGATCCTCTTTCTCTACAGGGTTGGTATCCCTGGGCCTGGGCTCCCTCTCCTCCAGGCTGTTCTTTCCCTCTTCTCTTGAATCCTCATTTTGCTGGGGTTTCTGTTCTGTCAGCTCAGCCAGGGACCCCGTGGGCTGTTCCTCTTTGGGGTGCTCCCCTGCTGCATCTGCACAAGGACAAACAAGAAGAAATGCTTCTGCTGAGAGCTCATTTCACAAAAAGCAAAGCCCAATCATTTCCCAGGGAGCTTCAGCTCCACTCAGCAATCTGCTTAGCCAGCCCATGGATCCTTTTGCAAGTCACTTCAGCATATGTTTGTGTTCAGGCGAGGCAGTGCTCTCTCTGGTGCCTGAGCTCCTGGAGAGACTCGCAAGGCTGAAGTTAAGCATATGCCAAAGTGTTTTGCTGAGGCACAGGCCTCATCACCGTCTCTTGAGATGCCAGCAATGAACTTGCCCTGCGTGAAATCAGATTGCAAGTAAAATGAAATTATTTAGGAGTGTAATACAGCACTTGCACAGCTCTCCCTGCTCTGAGTACTGCGCTAACATTGCATCCTTATTTCTCCCATCAGGCTGAAGAGGCAGCCAGCCCGGTTCCCAGGGTGCTGGAGGGAGGGGGGGGGTGGCTCTGCTTCTGCAAAGTAACTACTCAGCAGGAGCTTAATGTGGGCTGGGTATTTGCTCTTGCTCAGGTGAGAGTGGCCTCTTTTAACACAATTAGACATAGAAACCACTTTGCAAAAGAAAAGATGAGGGCTTAAAAGCCAGATAGTACGGAGAGGCAAGTGCAGCCCCAAGGAGTGCTGAGGAGTGTGCTAGGGTGAGGGGATGCTGGTCACACAAGGCTGGTGAAGACCAGTGACACTGTGCTGGTGTGGCTGGACTGCCAGCTGGTCTGAAAGGCCCAATATGCCACACTTCATCCTCATCAGTCTCCACACTGCTGGAACAAGAGGTTCAGGTCTGCCCTAACAGGAGGGAGATCCAGTGCCACTATCCTGTTGGCTTTTGGCCATGCTGGCTGCAGCAGCAGCCCCCAGGAGTGTCTCTACTCATTGCTTTGAGCAGCTTTGAAATGAAGTCTCAGCATCACTGTGCTGCTGTGGTTCAACCACATGCTCCAGAGCCCTCTTGAGACCCTCTGTGGGGGTGCAGCTGCTAGATGAAAAGTCACATCACCCCACATTGGCATTGTGTCTTCCTGACAAGGAAGAAGAAAGGGGCCAAACCCTCCTTTCTGCCAAACTGCCTGTCTCTAGTCAGGCCATAGAAACATAGTGACAAGGGAAAATCTCAGCTGAACGTGATCTTTCCAAGATAACAGGGGTTTTGTGGGGGTGTGTACAATGTCTGTATAGCAAGTTCCATTTTTCCTTCAGAGACCCATTACTCAATATCTTAGATGCCTGGAAACAAGGGTGGCAGGCACAGGCCCACATCACTCTTGCCTGTATCACTGAGTCTTTCAGTCCTGGATTTCCCTGGCTGTGACTCATTTAAACATTGGGAGTGAGTGATAGTGTGAGCAGCAGGGTAGAAAAGATCAGTATCAGTTTGGTAACTTGACAATCACCAGTTACTATAGCTCAGAAACTACATGTTGTTTAAGCTTGTAAATAAGAAAGCAAACATCAGGTTGGTTGTGTGTGTCAGTGGCAGCATCAAAGAAGATGCCTACAAGAGAAGCAGATGGACATATCAAGGCTGTTAGAAAGAACATCCTTGTTTACAGCCTGACCTGTATTTCCCGGGGGTGGAGGCTGACACTGACCTCTCTGCTTGTTCTTGTCATTCTGGTTTTCAAGGACTTCAGAAAGTTCATCTTCGAAGCCACTGTTTTTCTTCTGCTGATGGGTTCTCTCATTGGCACCTGTGTCAAATAACAAAAAGTATGGAAAGGCAACAGTCCCTCCTGTGTTTCAGAAAGTAGAGGTAGGGAAATAGTTCTGCGCCCTTTGTATTTTCTACAGCAGACAAATCTGCCAAAGGGGAGCTGTGAGGAGAAGCGACTGGAGGATACGTGAATCAACTGCAGTAACAAAACCACAATCAGAAACATTGTCTGCAGGAAAGAAAATGGTCTCTAAACAAACAGAGAATCAGCGTTGCCAGGAAAACTAATATTGATGGAGATCTAAGGAATAAGAGGTGCTGAACTGCAGCACACTGAGGCCAACGAAAGACTTCAGCATTAGAGTAATAAAGGATAAAAATTGCCTCCTGTCAGATTCTGCCTATGTACCTCTGCTGAGGTGAGCACTGAGAGCTTCTGTGCCCTCCAGCCTAGTTGTGGGGGCCCCTCTCCCAGGGTGCTGGGAGAAAGAAGCAGTGTTCATTCCCACTGCAGGGATAGCCTGGGGCTCCAAGGCCCCACACTGGGATTATGGAATCCACTTGACAAACATAACACCCTGGAGGAAGGTGTCTGAAGGCAACACAAGCTGGAGGTCAGAGTGCAGCTGTCCTGGCAACCAGCACTCCCCAGACAGCCCCATTCCAATGGGATCTGCAAGCCAAGCAAGGTCTGTCTAACCCAGCTCATGCCCTGCTTCTTTGCCTTAATGCAGCGGCGAGAGGGAACACTGCCCAGTGCTCTCTAGCCCAGAACTGAATGATGTGGATTCTCCAGCCTGAGCAGAACCAGCTGCAGCCAGCACAGAGGAGACTAAGATAAACACCTTTGCTTTTCCCTTGGTCTACAAGACCGTCCTACCCCCAGTCTCTGTGATCTGTAGATGAGAGCTCATGTTACTCTGGGACTAAGTGATGTGATGGGCTCAGGCCAAGGAAAGAACGGAGCAAGATGCACCTCTGTGAAACAAGTTCCTTCTCACAGTCTCCATGCCGAGGGGCACAGCCTTGCTTATAACTGAGTGCTCCTCCTCAAACCCCTACTGTGCCTAGGCACCAGCATCCCAGCACACTGAGGAGGATAAGGTTTCTTTCTTCTGGATCACTGGAGCATCCATGGGGCCCATCTGAGGTCACTGCCCAGCTGGCCCCTCCACCGTTTGGGTAGTGACCAAAATATGGCTTTGGAACTGCATGAGAGTCCCAGTCCTGACTTCCTGAATTTTTCCTCTTCCTTTTCCCTGTTGCCTCTGTGTCTTCCTTGCTCTGAAAGCATTCTGGTGGCACTGCCTTCCAGCCACCCCTGGCAGACTTACCACACAGGAGCAGGGCACGGGGATGCCCTGATCATCTTCTCCCTGCTGATGCCCAGCTGTCACCCAGGTTAGCCCAGGGAGAAGGAGGAGGGAAGGTCAGGAGGTACTCTCCCTGTAGCATGGGGAGAGCCCTGTTGCAAACTTCAACTGGACCACCTGGACAGAGGGATCTGGACTAGCTGTGAAGTAGCTTTGCCTGAGACCTGCATGTTAGCTCTGGGCAACTTGGCACCTGAGAACAGCCCTTCTTCCCCTTGCACACCCCTTTGCACAGCTCTGTGCTGCTGCTGCTCCCACACTGACCCATGGTGAGCAGCCTGCACCTCTCCAAATCAAAGAAACTTGCAATTGAGTTAAGCAAACCATCAAAAAAACCCCATTAGCTCAAGAACATTTTCATCTTTTAGGAGCAAGTCGTACTCAATGCTCAGTGTGGATTCCCTTCTTCCATACCTGGGTTTAGTGCTAGATTCCAGCTGCACAAACAGTGAAGGTTTTCTTGCCTTTCATTCCAGTTTGGGAGCTGGAGATTACTTGTTGAATTAAATTCCAGTATGTCCTTTTAGGGTTCTCCCACCCCAAAATGTCTATACTCTGCATCACTACCAAATCATGTTGATAGTTATGGAAATCATGAGATACATATTGCAGATACATTTTGGAGTTATAAGGAAAATTCCTGTCCCCACTCACACAATCTCTACTGGAAGTCCCGTAACTGTATTTCCTAGGGCATATTTATATGATCTCAAACTAATGTAAAATAAATTAAAAAACCAATACCAAACAAGCAATAAAACTGTGTAAGGGGCTACAAAAGGTGAAAACACACTTCCCTATAACTTCCCTCTAGTTATATTCCCAAATAACTGTGCTGGTACTGTACCTTGAGCGGCAATTTCCTGGAGTTCCTTCAATAGGTTTTGGTGGCGAAGGATAGAAATAATTCGTTCATCTGCAATAGGGAAGACTTAGTAAAGAAAGTCGCCAAAGACAACCTCCCCCCACCCCCAGGAAATGAAAAAGAACCCCAAATGCCACCTCTCTCTTCATTTGCTCTTCTCTTTCCCTTGGCCTGATTTGCTGTCACGTCTTAACCGCATGATTAAGATGACAGGAAGGTCCTATGAAAACCAGGCGGTTTGATGTCAGCCAGCACCCCCCTGTGCCCACATGAGGCCAGGCCTGGGACAAGCAGCAGCTCTGTCCCTGCATCTGGGGCACGGGGCAGACTGGTGGGGTGACCGTGAGGAGGTGAGTGTGTCGAGGACCCCTTAACAGGGATCAAGGAGCCAGGACTCTGCTGGTCAGGGCAGGACCAGCCCCTACTTGCCAGATCTGTGTTTGCTGATACCCAGCATTAAGTCTAAGGCTGTACCTCCTCGGAGTGTTTCTAGGCATTCCTCACTGATCGGCAGGGGGTTTGGCTTAGATAAAGTATCAGAGATGACCTCTACAATGCACTTCATCACCTAGAAAGAGACAAAAATACAAACTGAAGCACTGGTTTTTTATCTTTTTTTCCTAAATCTACTTGTTACCAAGGCTAAAATGCAGCAGGTGCTGTCACAGATCTTTCTGGTCAAACCAGAACTGAATTTTCAGTTCCTGTTTTACCTGATGCAGGAACAGAGGGTACCTGCTGCAACTCAGAAGTGAACAAATGACAAGTGACACTGGAAAGAGCTTCTTCAACATGACACACAATTCAGCTGAGGATTTCACAGCTTCAGACCATCCCAGGGCCTGGGCACATCAGGAGAGTAAAGGGTATCTGGATATATACATAGAAAGCTCAAAATTGTCCTCTTTTAAGCCAATATATCTCAACATGCATCTCATAAAAGGGCTCAGTGGATTGTAGAGAGAAACAAGTGGTCATTGTTGTTCAATAGGTGACCTTGAAATCTTGCACGCTCTTCAAAGCCTGAGAAAGGCACCACAGTTACATTGCAGCCAGGCATGGAAGGTGAGGTCAGGGGCAAACTACTTGCAAACACAGAGGAAAAATACTACTCTCAAACCCTAGAGAAGGACAAGACACTCTGGAGAAGTGTTTGACCTTGTGCTTTGAGTGTTCAAACCATCTGTTACAGACTGGAAGAGCTGTACATGGTGGCAGGTCATCTGAAAGTGAAGAAAATCTGGTGCAGCTTCTCAGACAGGATGAACTCTGGGCCCACCCTTTCCAGCAGCTCTTTTCTTCAGCGTAAGATGAGGAGCATTATTTATCTGGTTTGTCACCTGTAGTGAGATGGAAGGCCTAACTCTTCATCCACACAACTGCAGCACTGCTGATACCACAGGGATCCCAGAGCTGTGTGTGTGGTAGGAGAATGAAAGAGGTGCAGAGGCAATGTGGTACCTCTGTCAGGTGTGAAGACACACAAAAACACACCACTGGAAGCCCTAATGTGTTACCATGGTAGACACAAACGATCACACAGGAGAGAAGCATTCACTACAGTCTGGGGCTGGTTAATGGTGAGGAATCAGGTTGCCTAGTTCAAAAGGATAGTTATTTATAAAGTAGCCCAGGAAGGATGCAAGGCTCACAACTGCTTGTGGAAAAAAAACAGAGACTAAATTGAAAAAAAAAAAAAGAATACAGGTAAGCCTTGAGAGCAAAAAATTCACTCACTGAATCTCTTTCTCCTGATGATTTCTGCAGGCAGCCCTGAGAGCCCTGACCTCCCTCACAGTGCACCATTCCCAGGAGAGCTGAGCACTGTGGCTGCAGCAGAAATTAAACACAAGTCAGCAATTCCCAGTCATCTACAATGCTGTTCATTCAAGCAACTGGATATATTCATTGACCAGCTGGAATGGGCAAATCTTCACCCTATGTAAGGAGAGAATTCTGCCTGTGCAGATCACAGCCATAAAATACTGAACTCCTAAACTCCTTTGAGTTTGAGGGGATTGCTTGATGGATTAAAAATGTTACAGGAAAGATCTAAAAAAAATAAACGAGGGGAATTTCCCTAGTATTACTCTCCTATACCACAAGCAATCTAATAATACTGATTTTAGATGACTTTGAGTCACCTCACTCTACCATTAAATCGAAAAAAACCCCAGGTTCTGATTCTCCCCTCCCATGTTTCCCAACCTCTGAACTCCCTTATTGCAACAGTTTTTGATGCAGCTTCAGAATTAAGGACTTTCTCAGCATGAGAAATAAGAATCTAGTTCAATGAAATATTCTATTCAAGCCTTTTGAAGGCTTCCAAGATGATTCAAGGTCTTTGAGCACAAAAACCCACATCAGTTACCACAGAAATACAGTCAACTCTGTGGAGGAACTTTGTAAGGTAATGAAGAATGCAGTCATTCCGCAGCACTCTCCTTGTCTTTTTGTTAGAGCAAGTCTTGCAAAGTGAGGCTTCACAAGGTCATGAAATAATAGCCTGCATCAGGAAATCGACGAGATCCTTTCCAAATGAATGTAATTAATCCAGTGCAGAAACTCAGACTGGATTTTTGCCATAGCTATCATCTAACCATGAGCAGGTAACTAGATCCTTAAGAGCAGTTCACAATGTCCCCACACAGAAATCTCCAAAGGATCTTGTCCTTACAAGGACAGACTTCTCCATATTTGAGCTTGGCTATGCTCAGGCCCTTCTGAAATGTATGGTTGTAAGAGGGAAACAAGCACAATAGTGGGCAAACACCAGAGACATTGTAAATGCTTTGGTTGTGCTCAGCTCCCTGTGGAAAGCCCTTGGTGTAAGGGAAATCTGATGACCTGCCCAGCAAAGGTCTGCAGGTCCTGACCACACATTACACATCCCTGAGCTACCCACAAATGCTGGTGGCACAGAGCATGGTGTGTAGGAAGAGCTGCAGTGCTTGTTGCTTGTATTCGTGTGATGATATCCCTGCCCTGATCTGTCCTGTAAGACCAGGACTTCCTTCACTACAATGCTGTGTCTCAGAGGGTGGTGAAGGCAGAAAGTCCTAAGGCTCCTTCCAATTGCAGCAAATTCAAAAGAAAGCTGATTTTGCTCTCAGATAAAGCATGTGTCGGCGTAATACCCAGGGAGGGGGGCAGTCTTGGGAAGGAATCCTTCCTTGGCGGAAGCATTTCCATAGAGTTGCACCAACTGCCACAAAAGTGCCATTTTTAACACAAAGAACATATTGGGGGATAGATCTCACAGGGAAAATCATGGAATTAATGGACTGTCCCACCAGATGCCCAACGAGCATCACACTCTGGCATGGCCAGTTGAAGTGCCTATCCTGCGTGCCCTTCCTCAGCAGCACACCGACCAAGGAAGGCATCCGGTGTCTCACAGCTCATGGCTCAGCCCCAGCAAGGGCTAAGCAGGCTAAAAGTCTTAACAAAGCAACCACTGTCCGGGCCCAGGCACGTCTGACAGAAAACAGGGAGGCATTGCTCATGGCACATGTCCTGTAGGTAACATGCAATGGAGTCTGAACCCTCCCCTACCGCTGCCGGGGGAAAAAACATTTTGTGGCTAGAAGATTTCACAACACAGAACATTTCAAGAAGTAAGGGGGAAAAGGCTGGAGTTTCATTTCTGGACATGAATTTCTGTAGAAGTTTTAATTTGGGCAGCCAAGAGATTGGCTCATCTGAAAGATGGGGAAGGAGGAGGTGAGGGGGGTGGTGTCTGTCACAGATAAACACAGGCAAACCCACCTATCCAAGCATTTAGGCTGCCAAAAGTCTATTGAGAGAGCACACGTTTGCAAAATGCAGCTATTAATGTCAGAGGGCATGACACAGATGTAGGCACGGAAGCCTATAAAGGAGGGCTGGAGAGGTCAGCCAAGTCCTGCGCTGCTTGTAGCCATCCAGACAGGCTGAGCAGCTCCTGAGAATGGATTAGCAAGCGAAGAGTACCAGTTGCCTATTTTTCCGGAACATGCATGTTTAAGGAACATACTACACACATGCAAACACAGATGTACACACCCCAAACACACACAGTTCTAGCAATGCCCTTTCCTGAATCACATCTCCCCCCACTCTCTCCTGAGTCACCTCCTGCTGGGAGCTTTGAAAAGCTGAAAGTAGGAGGACTGGGGAAAGGTATACCCAGCCTCCATCTCCTCGCTAAACAAGCTTGTCCAATCCCTTTGGTACATCCTAAGGGACTTCCTCAGGTGCAGGAGCAGGCCAAAACCAAACAGCTAGGTGTAGGTTAAACATCACATCCTTCCTCTTCATTTGACCCTTCCACTACTGGCCCATCCTTACCTTAGTGTCGCTTTTATTCATGTCATTTGTCACAGGAAGGGAGACGGCTGTAAGGTGGGGAGAGGGGAAAAAAAGAGAACTTGTTATTCATTTCAGCTGTGAGATGAGTAAGGAATTACTATCCTGCTAAAAATGGGAGTGGAGAAGAGGGCTGTCGCACTCTGGTAGAAGTAGTCCCTGGGTGCAGCAGCTGGATGTATGCACTGTGCCCCTCTCAGTCTGGGAAGGGGAAGAGGGAAGAGGGAAGAGGGAAGAGGGAAGAGGGAAGAGGGAAGAGGGAAGAGGGAAGAGGGAAGAGGGAAGAGGGAAGAGGGAAGAGGGAAGGGCGGGAGGTGAAGCAGTCCGGGCCTGTCCGCCTGGCACTTGTACTGTCCTGGCCCGTTCATTCAATTGCCGGGGCCCCGGCAAAGGGCAACCAGGAAGGGACGGGAGGGCCTGGGGGAAGGCACCCTGGCCATCGGACCGTTCCCCCCCTATTTCTGCGGTCCGCGGCCGGTGTCCGCGGGGCCTGACGGGGCCGGTCTGTCCCTGTCCGCGGTGCCGAGGGGCGGGAGCGGGGCCGGGGTGCGGCAGGGGGGACACGGAGCCCAGCCCAGCCTCACTTACCCGGCACGGCCAGGAGCAGGACGGCTAACAGTCCTGGGCGGCTCATGGTGCTGGCGGGATGGAGGGAGGGAGAAAGGGGCAGAGGGTGAGTCCGTGCTGTCGTGGGGGCTCCAGGCAGAGTGCCGGGGGGGACCAGCACCGGCCGTGTGTATCTACGCCAGTGCCCTGGCTGAGGATCCCAGATGGGGCACTGCAGCAACCGGCTCATTTATATATCCCAGCCCTCGGAAATGGCGTCAGGAGGAAGCCACCTCCTCCTCTCCCCCCTCCTCTAGCACAGAGCCTTCCTTCCCAAGAGCCTCCATCAGTCGCCGGGTGTCGGAGGAGCGGCCACACGCCAGCATCCCCCCGACTTCCCCGGCTGCCTGTGCCAGTAGAAGGTGTCAGGCCCCTGTTGCTCCACCTTCTCGCGCTTGACAGGCACAGGAAGGTTGAGGTGTGTTTTCAGAATATTGCTTTTCCAATGCTTCACCCGACACTGGCAATCTACAGCACCTCTGCACATGTGCCCTCTCTGTATGTACCGGCAATAAACGTGAGAATCACTCCGTGTCCCAGCCAGTGTTGTTACCTGTAGGTGGTTTTGCCCTCTCGGGGTCTTCTTGCCTTTCACTGACCACGGAAGTTTAGAACAGGTGCTGAAATTTTTAGATGCCTGTTAAACAGGTCCACAGAGGATGGGGGTCCATGTAAGACCAATCAAGAGAGACCAGAGAAGTGGTCACCATGAAACAGGTTTGACGATGGAGATGGTAAGTCCCGGCTGTTATGAAATATTTGTTAGTAGGATATCATGTGGGTTAAACAGCAAAGGCTGGTGCATCTGTTGCCCAGCTATTGTGACTCTGCAAGCAAATTTTAATAGGTTGCTACCCATTTGTCCAATGTTTCATAACAATCTGTAGCAACAACCTACACTCCATAGTTGAAGTAACCAAGATTACCTGGTTGCCAGTTTGCATTGGCAAAGGGAGAGAGGAAGTAACAAAGTGTACCATTCTCTTGGTCACAAGCATATCCATGCTTCTAAAAGACTGTGTCTCTATTCTTTGTATTGAGCATCTGTCAGGTCAGTCAGCTGGATTCTCTTTTGGAAGTGAATCTAATGCTTCTTTAGGACAATATTTCTTTAGGAATAGCAGCTCAGCTATTCTGTGCTATCCATCAAGTGACTTCAGAGGTCACAAAAGCCAGGGACTTAAACTAGAAAACAAAATTCAGAAAAATGCACTTACCTCCTCCACCCTGCGTCACTGTTCACAGAGGAGTCCTGCACCCAAGGAACTAGAGAGAACCTAAGAGGTCATCTTGTCTAAGATAACAAGAACTTTTCTATGAGACCAGGGAGTACTGACTTCACTATAGGTTTCCCCTTTCTCTTTCCGGATGCACATGGAAATGTGCTCCAAATGTCCTGATATCTACCTGATTTAAATGCATGCTTCAAAAGGCACATTTGGATTCTAAAAGGCCGCTCATACAAAATCAAATCGCCTCTTGTCTGTTGCATTTCCTAGTTAATAGCAGAGAAAATATGGAAATAAATTGATCCTCTGAACAGTGTTTTTGAATGGTGCTATTGATGGTTAAATGTTCATAAGTCTAGGAAATTAACACCCATGACAGTTCTTGTTCCATGGGGAACCTGCAACCTCCAGAACAATAATATCCTCTCTTTTTGGTTGTGTTGTTTTGTTTTGTTTTTCCTTCTTTTCTTTTTTTTTTTTTTTTCACAGACTGTGTTTGTGTGTTGTTGAATTATTTATTGGGGGAGAGGGGTGGAGGTCATATACAATGACCTTTCACTCCTTCAGGATACACCAGAGCATTTTAGTCTCTGAGTCTCAAATACTGAACATTATTAAGTTTGTTAATTCCTATGTATTCCTAAGAGAGAAACAGATTGATCTCCTTATCAGGCTATGTTTTCCTAGTCAATATTTACTTATCCTTACATATAAATGTTGATCTTGTTAGGGCAATATATTATCTCAGTTCTAATCCTGTTTCTTATATGAATCCCTTTTCTTCCCTGGGGCCTCTTTTCAAGAAATGTACCAGGATATGTAGTGCCCATAACTACTTTTTTTTCTCTCTCAAGCTGTGGTCTTGCATACATTAAGTTCATTGGAAAGGAGAAACTAAATGTTTTCCAGATATGGCATGCATTCTCCCACTGTAATAGTGTCTGATGGATGATGAATTTTTCTGTTTCTTGTCCCAGGGAACTGGATATGAAACTGTTAATCCAGCAATTCAGTACTTCTGCTATTGGAATTTGTCTTATTAGGCACAGCTATATTAGGAACTGTAACAGTAAAACATGTTAGGGAAAGATTTATGTCAAAAGGCAAAAGTGATCAAATAAAGAAGTGGAAGGCATTCTGCCACAACAGACTCCAAGGAAAAAGCAGGTTTGTAAGTCTCTAAAGTAGTTTGTGTTTTATTATATGGACAGAAGTAGATATTTAGTGGATGGCAAAGTAATGAGGATGGACATTTACGACCACTTCCAGCCTTATAAAAAAGCTATTGATGTCTATAGAGAACAATTCCATTTTTCCTTATAGCTGCACAATTTCCAGTGCATGAAGTGTGGTGGGAATGTGGAGAGCCATGTACCATTACCCGCCTGCAGTCACTAACATAACGTGCAGATGGACAAAGAGGTGAGTTACTGTGATGAGAAAAGGTTATTTGCCTTCCTAGTCTATGAGTGATTTGAGAAGATGGCAATGCCAGGATGGATGGAAGCAGACACCCAGCACTGTTGCATTATCCATGTTCTGAGCTGGGCAACCAAGAGGGTCAGCCTAAAAGCCATATTGATATATGATCTTCCTCTGCACAAGGTCTCTCTGCTTAGAGATCATGTGGCTTAAGTGCTATTCTCAATGAATGAATAAGAGTAAGTTTTTATTTTAATTTTATTTCAGAATTCAGGAAATTGGGTATGGTTCTGAGCTATGGTTCAGGTACCTTGGGTATGGTTCTGAGCTACTTTGAGAGCTTTGTTCTCTAGTTTCCTGGCTGAAACTGGGTTAAGAACTCACCCGTGTTCTGTGCTTGGAAACACCGACACTGCCTCTCAGACTGTTGTGATCTGTGTACAGATCTGGGAATTAAGGCTCATAAAGAAGAAAAGTGTCATTTTCATGAAGATATCAAAAAGGCCTGAAGCCAAGGCACAGCTATTACCCACACCCTAACCAAAAAGACCACTAAGCAAAAAATAGGCAGCAATTACCACCTTGCATATGAAATCAATTGATAACTCTTTGACTGGAAAACATGAATGTAAACTCATTGCCTAAATAGTAGCAAAGCCTATTAAAACCCCCACATCGCACCTTTTTTTTCTTCTTTTCCACATTAGTCAATCACACTTGCCTCTCAGTTCATTCATACAAGTCTTGCTTGTCTGCCTGTAAATAGAAATGAGCTTCAAAGCTCAGATTGCTATTGTGAATACCCATCTATGCTGCTAAAAGGCAATCCTCTCTTCTTTTTCGTATCAGAAGCAAAATGATGTTGACTTGGCTTTGGTTTTCTTAGTTAGGATGTGCTTGCACCAGCCTGAGGTTAATTGATTTTCCTTTTCGAAGCTTTACTTACACCCCATAAAAAAGCCCATCGTTGTGCCCAATCCTGAAAGGAGGTACTGCCTATCCATTCTCATCCTTGCCTGCCATGCACAGCTCTCACTGGGGCAGATGTTCCCTGTAGGGAGAAGAGACCTTTCTGTAGTGATCACAGAATACCATCTGGGCACCCTTACAAATAGCTTGGATCTCAACATAATTTTTCTAAACATTATTCAAACACAATCTGGAAAATTTCATACCTCTTCCATGCCATGGTCAGTTTACCTGGCACTTACAGAAAACCCTCATTGATTCCCGTGAGCCCCATTGAATCTGTAAGAAAAGATGTGGAGATGGAGGTTCTCTCTGAACAGAATGATCTCAGACTCCTCAGGAAATTACTGATTGTTCCCGTGGGCATGGTTTTATTAGACTTGTGACAACAAAGTTTATGTCATGCTGATTCACATACTCAGTAAGATAAAGCAGTTCTATAAGTTCTAGACTTGTCTAAAACAAGCTCATGAGAACATCACTGATATTGTTTACCTAGCTCTGAAGCTAGAGACATATAGTCCTATTTATTGGCCTGCAGGCACAAAACAAGGTTCATGTGAGTTAAGAAAAAAACAGTAATGACAAGAGGTCTTTGGACCAACACTCCTGGGAGTCAATAAGCCCACCAGACTGCCTCCACACTGCCAGCAGCTCATAGCCAACACACAGACCCTCAGTCAGCACCAGCATCGCCCCAGATTCTGAACATGAAGTGACTGCCTGGTATATTTTGTAGAGATTAATTTTATTCCTCATCCTCTTCCTTTATATACCCAAGCTGTCTGTCCACTTCAGGCCAGCTGCTTAGTGAACACCAAGTGAAGCACTTAATGTGTACTGAGGGGGATGTGGGTCTCCTGGACTGCCCATAAGGCCACAGTTCATCTATTGATCAAATGAGCGCGTGGTAAGGGTCTTTTTCAAGATATGTTAGATGCACTTGTGCTAACTTCCCCAATTCATGGAGACAAATGACAAAATCCCTAATTAAAAAGCAATTATAATTAAAAGAATTTTTTTCTTTCTTTTTTTTTTCTAATAGCAAGGTTTAGAAATCATGAAACACATAAACACTTTCCATTCTGGATGCTTTCTTTGATCTCCTTTAGCTCACATTGGAAATAATGCACTTGAAGAGATGAAAAGACAACTGAACATACAGCCTGCTGCCCTGCTGCTGTTGCAGAAGGATGAAGGAGAGGTGTGAGGATCCCTGTACCTGCTCCCTGCACGTCTCTGTCCCCAAAAATGTCCACAAAAGCCAGACTTAAGGCCTTCCAGGGCACTGCTGTCCCGCAAGAATATTATTTCCTAAACAGGGGCAATAGCACATCCCTGGAACCATTTACCTGGAGCTACGGAGCACAGGGACACAGCAGTTGCCATTCTGGGTTGGAGGAGGGAGACAGAGACCCTGGGCCCTCCCCCAGAGGCCGAGATGGGGGCTGGGATGGGGACAGGGCCTCTTCCTGTGTGTGTATCAGGCAAAATCCCAACTTCCAAACCTCTCAAAAATTAGGCATTAGCCCTGATATTTTACAG